ATGATCGTTATCAGTGGCCGATGGTCAGTGACGACAGTGAAGTGTGGCAGCCCCCGCAAGAAGATGTGACACTTCTTGAGGGCCCACACCACCGCCAGCAGCTCCAGTTCCACCATGGCATATCGAGACTCTGTATCCGAAATGAACCTGGAACCGCATTGGACCAGACGCCAGTGGTCACCATGCTGCTGGAGAAGGGCATACCCAAGTCCCTTCAGTCGAGCAGCATCAGTTTGCAGGACAGTTGGAAGTAGCGGGTCGTAATGAGCCAGAACGGGCGGTGATGAAAGCGCCTTCTTGACGTTGTTGAATGCCACTTGGTGATCTGGTGTCCATACGAACGCGTTGCTCGGCTTCAGGAGGCCCCGAAGTGCATCAGCTGCCGAGGAGATCTCGCTGGAGAAGTCGCCGAACTGCTGCACCAGACCCATGAACGATCTCAGCTCCGTGATGTTAGTGGGGCTGGGGAAGTCTGAGATCGCTGTGACTTTTCCAGGGTCGACTTCTTTTCCAGCAGATGACAGTTTGAAGCCACAGTACTGGACCTCCTCCATCGCGCAACAAAACTTCTTTTCGTTGAGAGTGATGTTGTGCCGTCGACACTGGCCCAGGACAGCACGTAGACGGTCTGCGTGCTCTTCAAACGTCTCGTCGTACACGAGGATGTCATCCACCACCTTAACGATGTGATCCAGTCCTTGAAGGGCAGCATCTCCGCGTCTACAGTACTCATCGCCTGTCGATACCAATCCCATAGGCGCTCTCAGGAATTTGAAGCGCCCCCAGGGAGTGATGAAGGTTGTGAGATGCTGGCTATCCTCGGACAAGGGGAGCTGCCAGTAGCCGGATTTGGCATCCAGCGTTGAGAAAATCTTTGATCGCGCGGGGATGCTCGAAACAGCTTCTTTTGGAGTCTGGAGTGGATGTAGCGGTCTCTTCACGAACTGATTGAGTTTGGTGTAATCGACGCATATCCTTACACCACCGTCAGACTTCGCTACCAAAACGAGTGGATGACACCACTCTGATGGCTCTTCGCCCACCGGTGCGATGATTCCTTGGGCAGCCATGTCATCCAGCTGGCTCCTCACGTTGTCTCTCCATGCGAACGGCACAGGTCGGGCCGTGCGCACCGCGAACGGTGTGGCGTCCTCCCTGACGTGTATGACCATCGGAGGGCCAGTCATGGGCTTCAGCGGCGACGGGTTGCTGTCGGATGTGAAGACGTCTGTAAATTCCTCGAGCAGCTCATCTCGGAGCTGCTTCTGTCGCTTCTGTTTCTCGCTGGACGTCTTTGACTCGACTGGAGAAACATCGGTCGTCCTTGTCCCAGAGGGTTCACGAGGCAGCGGGATAGGCTGTGGGTAGTGGTCCGGTAGGATTCCGAGATTCTTGGCTGTGTACCATGCGAGCAGAAGCCCTCTCGTCTCTTTGAAGACGTGAACTGTGTCTTCAACTGCTCTCTCATTCAAACGAAGGATGGCCTTGAAGGTGCCAATACATTGCATGGACTGTCCATTGGCAGCTGTGATGTTGAGACTTGGTGGCTTGGACAGCTCCTTGTCGTCGATCCCTAGGTTGTGTGCAGAGGCTGAGCTCATGACCGTGATTTCAGCACCTGAGTCTGGAGTTGCAGTGATGTCACCAATGAATGTACCGTCTGATGTCTCCACCTTGATGGCGATCTTAGGAGCCTGCAGAATGTGGTGCAGACTACTGACGAATACTTGTGGCACATCAGCACGGCTGGTATCACGGCGATGTCTGCTGCGTGATCTCGTGGAACTTTCTGTGGCAGCCTGCGCTTGCTGAGACGCTCGCTTCTTGCGGCAAACCGAAGCGAAGTGTCCGATGGCTCCACAGAAGAAACAGGGTTGACCTGCTGCAGGACAGTTCCCTTGTGGGTGATTGGCCCGACCACAGCGTCCGCATGACTGACTTGCACGTCCTCGTGAAGGACTTCGCTGGCCTGGCTCAAGTCGACGAGAAATGCTGAAGACGTTTTGGCCTCTGCTCATGACGTCTTGTAAGGCTTGGTCGTTTACCTGGGCGGCTTCCTCTGAACGGCAGATGTCTGTGACTTGATCTAGCGTTGGGAACGGGCGAAGGGCCAGGAGCTTCCGTCGTGTTTCCTGATTGTACAGCCCTGACATGATCTTGGTGGTGAGCCGCTGATCTGTACATGAAGAGCACAGCTCCGCGTCAGCGGCGAGCTCTTTCACCGAAACCAAGAATGAATCAAAGGACTCATCCTGTTCTTGTCGTCGCTCTTCGAACTTCACTCGGTCGATAGCAATGCTGCGCTGCTGGCGCAGATGGTACTCAATCTTGTCTAGTGCTGACTGGACGGAGTCGCTGTCTCTGATGCCGATGGCGTGCTCGGAGGCTGCACGCATGTCTTCGGTAAAGCACGCCCTCAGGTACGCCAGTTGATCATCACGGCTGAAGGATTGAAGCTGACAGAGTCTGCTGTAGTCATTCCAAGATGATCTCCAAGCTCTGAAGTCTCTGAGGCTGATGGACTCTGACAACTTGCTAGGCGCTGATACGGCAGGCGGTCTCACTGTAGGTGGCACCACAGCCAGATCACTATCAGATGATGCAGGACTCTGTGAATTCTGTGGTACGACTGGCACTCGGGTCTCTTCAGAGTTGTGAGCAGCAAAAGGCGAAGAAGCATCTCCAGGAGCCGCCCCGGTCGCGTCCGATGCCGTAGCCTCGTCTTGCAGACGCAAACCTTGCATCTCAGCCCTCAGTAGATTAAAGTCTTGCTGGTGTTGTTCCCTTTGTGCTTGAAGGTTTTGACGATGCTGTTCCTGCAGTCCGGTTACGAGCTTGGTCAGCCATGGTGGTGCGCCTTCTTCTCCAGTGCTGTCCGTCTGATCCATCTTGCAGCTAGAGCGTAGGTTGTAGGCCATGCAGAGCAGAAGTATCAGGAAGTACCAGAAATGTCTCCGCGATGTCCTCTGAAGTGTTTGGGCAGGAGGACCGACAAAAATGAGTAATGGGAATAGATGAGGATGGTGAGGAAGGCGCCAGCCACTGCCCGATTCAGCCCCTCGATGGCGAGGCCACTGAATACGGACAGATCAGTGATACTCCAGCGCCTTGATGGCAAGGTTAGCCGGAGCCGACTGGTCGCACCCCTTGAATGAGAGGGAGTCCCGCACCCGCGTCTCGATGGCGAGACACGGGAAGCGAGTTCGAACCGACTGTCTCAATGGTGAGACCCTCGGCCGCCACCCTCAATCACCCCAAGAGGAGGAATGAAAAGATGACTTCCCTGGTAAGGACGGGTGGGATGGGTGCAGGATTATGCACCACCGCTCGTTGCATGTAAGGGCGACACTTCACTGCACAACACCGTTCGACCACAATCCTGTCGGCTGCGCCATGTGATGTCGTCGTCGATCCTGCCCTGGTGATCTCTTGAGAGGCGAGCTGCGGTCTGTAGACTGTATTGGAGCGAGTCCGAAAGCACACTGACCCCACCATGCCAGTAACACACGACATCGACCTCACACACACACACATACAACGAACAACCAATCAGGTGCCGCTTACACCTGATCACGTGATCGGCCTGCCCCGCGGCGGCAGGCCGGACGGCCCGGCCGCGGCCCGCACTGCTGGGCTGCGGCCCGCACCGCGACCCGACAGGGGCAGGATACTGTGCCGCCGCACCGACTGGGCCAGCTCACAACAGATACGTATTGTTTATGTGCCCTCTGTAACGTGTTTTAATCTTTTTATCACACAAATACCTAAACGATCGCATTCACATATGAATGCAATTCGATATTAAACCTAAAAGTCAATAGTGTAAGAGGCAAAAGATGTAACGCAAACAACGATAACGAGTCAATTAACACAGCACACTAGAGATTATCAATCACAATGCAGTTTGATTTTTACATCTCTACAAGAAAGGTTGTTCGACGCAGTTCAAAAATGCCGTAATTGCCCTGACTCAGCGATATTTCTGTCGCCGTGGCCCCGCGTCGGACGGAATCTGATTAACTCTAGTCAACCGTAAACAAGAGGTCTCTTTTGTCTCATTTTAGTGTGCGTGCGCGTCTCTCTCTCTCTCTCTCTCTCTCTCTCTCTCTCTCTCTCTCTCTCTCTCTCTCTCTCTCTCTCTCTCTCTCTCTCTCTCTCTCTCTCTCTCTCTCTCTCTCTCTCTCTCTCTCTCTCGCTTCTCTCCTCTCTTTCTCTTTCTATCCATATCTATCCGTCTCCCACATTTTCTCTTTCTCGCTCTTTCTCCCTCTTCCTGCCTCCCTCCTCTCCCTCCCTCTTCCTGCCTCCCTCCTCTCCCTCCCTTTCCCTCTGCCTCTCTCCCTTTTCCTCTCCGTCTCCGTCCACCCCTTCCCTCTTCCTCCCTCTCTCCCACATTCAACATGTGTCGCAATATTAGTGTGCTGTTGTCCTCAACGACGTGTAGCGAATAATACACCCGTCTCAGAACTTAGTGGCAGATAGTTTGAGGCTGTATAGAAGCATACCACTTGGCCCGAATAACGATGTATGTAAAGCGAAGTTGCAACAGTCGAGAAAAGGTTATACTGAGCCCGGGAGAACTGTGCCTTTATTTAACTGGCGGTGGGTCCAACTTACGATTTGAATGAAATCTGTGGACCGGCTGCCAGGTGAATCTCTGGTGTGACCCGCGACCTCACACAAACATTTGTGTATACCTTTGCTGGGATGCAGGTAGCCCATATGCCGTTACTGACCGCCGTGTGTGCTGGGTTTGACCCGTGTGTTTACGGCAGGTTTGGCCGTTGTGTCTACGCCGGTTTTCACTCGTATGTCTGCGCAGGTTTTGATCCGTGTGTCCACGCCGGGTTTGACCCGTATGTCTGCGCCAGGTTTGACCCGCGTGTCTGCGCCCGCCAGGTCTGACCCCCAGGTTTGACCCGTGTGTTTGCGCCAGATCTGACCCCCAGGTTTGACCCGTATGTCTGTGCCGGGTCTGACCCGTGTGTCTGCGCCGGCAGGTGGTCGGAGCCGGGCCGGTGCGGCTGGTGGCCCGTGACCTGCTCACGCGGCTGGTCTGGGCCGGCTACCAGGAGAGCCGTGTGCTCAAACTGCTCCAGTCCACCGGCCCCGCGCGTCCCGGCTGGACCAACGACCTCATTAAAGCCAAGTAAGCCGCTGCTCGCTGTCAGTCTGGCGCGCCGGACTGACTGGCCCCCAGTGTCGGTACAAACGGGCGGGCCCGGGGCGACCGCTAACCGGGCGGCACCCCGGGTACTGAGCTCAACCATGCACCACCGGCGTAAGGCAGGCTCGGCCGCGGGATCCGACAGCTAATCGGCGAATGCCTGTCTGATTTAGCGCTGTAACGCTGGTGAGGTTGTAACTAGCGGGGTACTGTTGCTGATAGTTGATTCACTCTGCCGTGTAGATCGATCGTTACACGGTTCTACGGCATTCGTTATTGGGCCATGTAGTGTCATTTGACTCAAAGGGACGTCCTGAATCGCACTTCAGTACTGAAGCACGCTTCTGCACTTTCAATAACCTGCTGCTCGTTGCCTGCCGTATTGCAGTGCTTCTTGCGGACTGTGGAGTGCTTGATTGTGTAACGTTCCTCATCTTTGGTGGCCAGAGATGAGGAAAATAACTAGCTTGTAGAACGTTGCATTTGATTTGTATGCCTTATTATTCCATTGATGCGTGTTTACTACAGCAAAACAAGCACGCATCGTTAGCTTGTTGCGTTTCTAAAAGGAGCCCGAACAGCTTGTTGCGTTTCTAAAAGGAGCCCGAACCTTCAACCTTTAGGCAAAGCGCACTCATCACGCACTTTATTTTCCATCTTAATGGATGTCCATTGTCCATATTTATCCTCTCAACGCGTAATATCTTTTACTATAACGTAATATGTGATTCTGGCGAAATGGCATCGCATATATCTCATCACATATTAGCAGGCTCTCTTCCCCGAACGCACTTTGTGTCGGCGTTGGTAGAATACTGGGGCTACTGACTCGTCAGTCTCCCAGCACGCTGGTATCCGTTTTCCTATGCCTGCGGCGTGCCGTCGCGGCCTATTCAGTCAGACTGTAGTTGAATAAGTAAGACACCTGGGTAGGGTAGTAAGACACGGCTGACGTTGGCTGGCACGGTGTGCTTCAACAGTGGCTGATGTGATGTCAGATATTCTCCTGGCTGGCGGGTCGTGCCATCTTTTCGTGTACTGTCACCTCCAGTCGGGTGATAGCTCCAGATACTACCCTTGCTGGTATGATGTGCCGTAGGAGGGCATCCGGCCAGCTCCAGTGCATTGTTACCCTGATTGGTATGGTGTCGGGCCGGGGTTGGTATTTACTCTGGCCTGCATGACTTCGGGGCCGGGTATTCCCCTGGCTGGCCGTATTTGGGCGCGCGCTGTCTCGGTCGGCAAACACCGTTAGTGCCGTTAGCGGACTGTGTGTCTGCCGGCGATGGCGCGGCGCCAGTCATTCTCTCCAGGGACTCCCAGCTGAGATCGGTTCCTAACCCGCCCGCTCTGCGCTACAACCCGCTACCCCGCCGACCACTGCGGTACCCTACCGCGCGATATATAAACGGCAGGGACCCTCGCTCACCGCCTCCGTTCCATCGCTTTCATCCTCAGGAGTCAGGACACAGAAATCCTTCTCCTCCACGCCGCAACCCCCACTCCGGGCTGGACAGGCACCTTTATCTCATGCAGGCTGCTCCCTTGGGGCGGCACCGCTGCTCCCGAGGGAGCGCACCCTGTAGCCGGGTGCAGAGAGTGCTTGGGGGGCTAGTCGGCCTGTCCTTTCGGACGGGCTCAGCCCCGGCGACTCTCTAGGGTATCTGCCCAGACCAATGTCTCCCCCTAATTCCTATCATCCTTCCGGCCCTGAAATGGTCTCGTCAGACCGAAAGGGCCTAACTCAACAAAACGAACAAACAAATCGCTCACCGTCCCAATCGACACACGCCGTGCCGTGGTGATGCCAGCACTCAGAGCGGCGCGACCAGTCGTATGTATAGTCGACTACAGAATGATGTTCCACTCCTCAGAAGCTATCAGTTGACCGGAGCGCTAGGTTGTGCCGTTTATCACGCAATTAAGCGTGTAGATTGTGAGCATTGGGACAAAGCTATAATTTGTGAACTCAGCCCGTGTGATGCGGCACAGCCTACCACTCCAGGCAAATAATTGCCTGTGAAAAGTGAAACATCATTCTGTAGTCGAAACAGCGCGGCGGATCTGTGCCGTATGACGAGTTATTGAGTTATTGCGTTACTCTTTCGAAACAGCGCGACGGATTCCGAACATTGTCTATAGCGACGGTAACCCTGTTCACGTCAACAGTTATCACTGCGCATGGAACGGTGGACGCGGCTCCTCCTGAAGTCCTGAAGTGGTGATGAGTTTCAATTCAAAGTGTGAAAGCGTATCTGAGTGGTGGCTTGCAGTTGTAGATACATTAAACCAAAATTTAATGTACCTAATGACCTGACGTACTCCTGCAGTAGGGATTGAGAAGTCGCCTGTCAACAGGACAAAAAGAAATGTCGACATCGTCGTATGTTGGTCGTCTCCCAAACAGAGGATCATCCTTCTATGATGACTTTGTTGTTGCTCCGCCTTTTATGAGACATATTTTTAGAGTCTGTTGCTGGCGAGCTCAGGGGTTGTTTGGAAGTCGCTTGTGTAATAGGCCATCTGCGGTGCTGTGGACGGAGAAGTTGGGGCGTATTTCTCCGCAGGCCGCGGTAACTGCGTCAGCTGGCAGCCATTTTTCCTATTATCGTGGCCTTTGATGTCATCTGAGGCTGCGTTCTAGCTATCCCGGCCTTTTTGGTCAAATCAAGAGTTAAGACTCAAAGAAGTAAAACACCTGACTGTCCGCCGATCACGATACTTATGTGAGAACTGCTGCAAGCACTTTACTGCCGTAGAATAGCCGTAGGCACTGTACCTGTCAAGTGCCACTATAAGACGAGCTTTCGGACGTCCCCCAGCATTTCTATTCCTGTTTACGAGAAGGTAAACATTTTCACGGTATTCGGTTCGCGCGGCGCCGGAGATGAGAGCTCTGGCGGCCCTCCCTGCGGCGCTGGCGTCACATCTTTCAGCGCTCTCCCATCCTCAGACGGCCCCCAGCGATCAGCATCTCTCCGAATCTTATCACCTAAATCGCGCGCAACGCGGCATGCTGTTCGTAGGTATATGCTGTGCTGTGAGACGGCAGATTGCAATTTCATATTCTACGGTCCTATTTTTTTTTTCAATGTGGGTGGAACAACGCTGTACCTATCTCTTTTTTGTTATGCTCGCTGTTTATATGAATATCATGCATGGATTCTAGAAAGCGCATGCACTTTTTTCTTCAAGGTAGCTTCCGAAGCTGCCTGACTGATTCACGTTTTCATTTCATTAGTATTACTCCTCCACATGATACAAGCATGCATAGGGGGAGAATTGTGCTGGACTGATGGTGCTCGAGCTCTCCCAATTCCACGCCGCATTGGCTTTGGAGCCGCAGCAGACGGCAGATGTCAAATGCACCGTTAGGGCGGAGGCGGGTTTGCTGCGCCCGAGCACCCCCAGCTCGGCACAATTCTCCACCTATGCAAGCATGGTCGCTTAGTGCTAATTGCATCGCTGAATGGATATCTACTTCTGAATTACATTTAAGGATTGATTAACTAAATTCCTTTAAACTGCGCCGTATGACGAGTTATTGCGTTTGCTGAGTGAGTGCTGATTTCAGGATAGAACATGGCACGATACACTTACTTGAAGTGTAAACTCCAAACCCCTGTTTTGCTCGGCATTGTTTTGCCACTTCCACGATCCTTGAATCGTATTCCAGACACCAATAGTTTCCAAGCAACTACTCTTCAAAAGATTGTCGAGCCGTCCACCTACACCAATTCTTTGTGTTTAAGCGCTTCTTTTCAAGCGCTCGTCAATGCGCTTTGCTGCATGGAATTGATAGATGCGTTCCCAACAAAGTTAGTGCATCTGAATGTCGTAATACGAATTTGCAACAATTGCGAACATGAAACCGCGGCAGTACTATGGCCCATTCAAACTGAACTGTGTGCTAGATTCATATGGCAGCTATGGTGTTTCCCTTGCCATGAACACTTCGTTGGAAGTTAGAACCAGTCAAAGAATCGTCCGCATACATCGCATATTCGCATCATGATAACACATTCACGCAGTTTATTGGGATTTACTGCCTCCCTTGACACGCATGTTTCGTCGTTCCCCGTTTATGGACCCGTTCACGATGCCATAGCTATTGGTTATGACTTATGTCTATGCTGGTTCAGGAGAGAGCTGGTGTAACCCTTAACACCACTCTCCGATCCTCTATACAGTATGACCCGTCCGCTCTGACCTTCATTTGCATATGTAGCAAACGGCACGTTTGGGAACGAGGCGGCTCCGAATTCAGCCGAGTGGGGCGTCGGACCGAAACGGTCCCGGCCTCCGAACCCGTGGCCGTTTGACCGAAGAAATATTGGTCTGACCATTCCCCACCACCACCACCACACCTGGGAGGGTCGGTCATGGGCTGTTTGGATGGGGCAGCAGCACCTCACGTTTCAGCTGGCGTGTCAGGTGGTGCGGTAAATGATATCGCTCAGCGTTTTGCATAAGTCGCTATAAAGGGAAATTGGTTTACTGTGCAATCTTATTGACAAGCAATTTTATTTTCACTTACGCGAGCGCGTAAGTGAAACACTCCATTACACTAGCGCTAGTGTTAATGGAGGCACCCAGGAGCGCTCTCAATCCTTTGAAGTTAATGGCCATTATTGATACTTTTATGAACCATTCATTATCAAACTGGAGTCGGTTAAAGTATACCGAAATTCGGTCGTTATTTACACAGGTCGCTGCACATAAATTCCTTTCCACTCATGGTGTAAGTCAACATAACGTTATTGCATTTCTTTCGAAAATTGTCTCTGTTGCTGATATCCTCGTCTGACAATGCCTTTGTTATTATTGAGTTGCAACGAGTGCTCTTCTTACCCTACTGTAGTACCTACATTTGTCAAGGGATCTACATTTGTAAAGTGAGTCATTCTAGTTACATTTGTAAAGGGATGTAGTTATCAGCAAAGGCGCGTTCAGTTAAAAAAAAATGAACCGCAAGATATTTATGTGGGCTGTATTTTACGTACTTCATTCAAGTAGCTTGCGCCAGCTGGCTCATACATAATACTGCACCATTCCCCACATGCCGCGTTGCCCTGCCCCCCCCCCCTCGCCAATCATACCCCACTGAACTTAGACCACCGCTCTACTGACCCCCGTGCCTGCCGATTCAGAGTGAACAACACCATCTTCGGCGGTGTGATGGAGCTGCCGCTGAGCCGACACCAGATGGACGAGTTCTGCGCCAGCCTGTTCGCGCGGCTGCAGTGCTGTCCCGCGCTGGTGGCCCCCACCCGGCACCCGGCGGACGCGTGTCCGCACCGGTGTCGGACCACGCTGCGACTCGCCCAGCAAAACAGCAGGTCAGTGGTCACTGTTCAGTACCCTCCGCCCAGCAAAACAGCAGGTCAGTGGTCACTGTTCAGTACCCTCCGCCCAGCAAAACAGCAGGTCAGTACTCTGTACCCAACAGGATAGCAGGTCAGTATCCTGCTGCCCGGTCAGTAGTCAGTGGTTAGTGGAATAGCATATCATAAGTCAATGCCCGGCTGACCAGAAGATCAGTATCCATTGCCCAGTCAGAACCTAGCCTGCAGGGCAGGGCAGTATCCACCGTACGGCAGAGCAGCAGGTCACTACTCTGTATCCAGCAGGTCACTACTCTGTATGCAGTAGACCAACAGGGTAGCAGGTTAGTACCCATTAGCCACTTCTCGGCAGACTGTCAGGTCAACAGTGTCCGGTAGGCATACTTTTTATGAGATAATGCACTTTTCATGCCGCTTGCACACCGTGAATCGCTAATGCCCAGAGTGAATTTTTACCAGAACGACAGCGCTGCTGTAATGAAGAGCATCATCCATAGTCAGCTTTAGTAAATCAATGGGCCATATCTGAAACCATTAGTCTACCTGTCTATCTGTCGGTAGGTATGTCTGTCTGCTTGTCTGTCTGTGTCTGCGACGTAAAGTGATCCCGTGTCTGATACTCCCGCAGTCCGTGCCTGTTTGCCTGTCGTCTGTCTGTGTGTACTCTGTCGTCTGTCTGTCTGTCTGTCTGTCGTCTGCCGTCTGTCTGTCGGTTGTCTGTCTGTCTGTCTGCCGTCTGTCTGTCTGTATCCGTCCATGTCTCACCATCCGCGCCCGTGTGTCTGTTGTCTGTCTGTCTGTCCGCTATCTCCGTCTGTCCGTGTCTGTATCACTCACCATCCGCGCCCGTGCTGTCCGGCAGGTCGGTGGATCTGCCGCCGGGTGAGACGGGGCCGGCCCTGCTGCGGGAGCGACTGGGACCGGCCAAACGGGCGCGGCCCGACTACCTTCATGCTCTGGAGCCGCCCACCCGGCGCCGACGGGGCAGGTCAGTCGGTCAGGGGACGCGTCAGTCGGTCAGGGGACGCGTCAGTCGGTCGGGGGGGGGGGCGTCAGTCGGCCACGGGGCGCAGGCGTCGGCCGGGTCAGTCAGGGTTACGGGTCGCGTGGGTGAGGTCACAGGGCACAGGGTCGCGGGGATGGTCAGGTCACGGGATATAATTCACAGGGTGGGTTAGGTCACAGGAATAAATTCCTGCCGGGTTAGAGGCGTCAAGTAAACGGGTGCAGTGAAGGCATTAAGATGAATTCGGTCGCTGAAAAGAATAAGTTGTAGTTACAACTTATCCAACCCATCGAAAATTATAAGCTCAGATATAAGAATATGGAAACGAGCCACATATGACCCCGCATAGGTCGTAGGTGTGTGCCATGTTTCGGGTCAAAGCGTCATTTGGCCAGGGGTCGCTCGGGAGAGCCGGTTCAGCAGGCAGCGGCCGGTGGTCGGTCCATGTGTCTCTTGACTCGTCTGTTCGTCCAGCGTCGCGCGGCCTCCCCGACCTGCGGCCGGCCCGCGCGGCTCCCCGGTGAATGCGGTCATTAGCCGCCGGTCGCCATGATTGCCGCCTGCTGATTGGACAGCCATCTCCGCGGTTATCCGAGGGCGAAATCACGCGTCAGCTTATGCCGAACTGCGTGCTACGAGTTACCGAGGCAGCGGCACCAAACATAGGACTTTTAGCGTGTAATCACCTGCCTGGTGATTGGAGCATCACTAATGGAGGCCGTTTCTAATTGCTACATATGTGACGTCTAATGTATTGATAAAAATATCGATAAATATAGACATACAGCTCCATGGCTGACATCTGTGCGCTCGTACCATGCACTGGAAATGTTGGGGAGTATGTTTGTAGGTGTACATTTATGTAGGGGAGAGAGGAACAACATACCGCGTCCCAGACCCCCTGGCTGTCGGGCACTGGACGTGCCCGCGTGCCGATAATGACTTCCTGACCATTCCACGGCTGGTGCTCGGTAACCCACGTCCCGCTTGACGTGATTGCTCACTGGCTGGACAGCATGCGGTCACCAAGCCCGTTAACACTCTGGCATTGCGGAAAAACACTCTGAAAAAAACAGTCACGCGCTGATCACACTCCCCTTCAAGGTATCCCCGACCCGTGTGTTGCGCTGCCGGGTCAGCGGCTAGGGTGGCGTGCCGACCCGCCATCCCCTGATCACCGTCCCGTCCTCCGGGATCCGGCCGGTACTGGCACGGGCTGGCTGTGGTCGAGTGGAAGGTGACGGTCCGGGTCGGACTGTGGTAGCGTGATCCGCCACTGTTGAGGGACGTAACGACCGGCGAGCTCACGAGAGGGACATGGTTGGACTGGTAGCGGGCTGCGTGGATATGAGCACGATGCACTGCGCGATGCGCACACCCTTAGGCAGATCGGATTGGGCATAATTTGATGAGATGAAGGTGGACCCAGTTGTGCATTTTTGGGCAGGTTATGTAACGCTTTTGTGGAATTTGCTTTGTTTCATGATGAGTCATTTTAAATCCAACATATTTTAGGAAATCCAAATTATGCTGCTCGGATACGACATTGGTCATTTCGGTCCATTCGGGTTTGGCCCAGTCAAGTCTGGTTCGTTCCGATCCGGTCCGACGGGGTCTGGTCCGGTCGGTTCTGGTCCTCTCTGATGATGTCGGGTCTGGTCCGGTCCCTACTGTCACCGATTGCGTCTCGGTGCGCCGATATGGGGCTTCTGGCGCCACAGTACGGGGAGACAGTCGCGGAAAGGTCACGATAGGGCTTCACTGACTCAACGCCCGGCTGTCCCGTCAGGTTTCATTAGCACAACTGACCTGAGGCCATTGCGTCCCGTCAGTCCCAACTGGTTGTGCAAGCGTTGCTGGGACGTCAAGTTACACTGAAAATACGGATCTAAAGCTGATTAGGCCGGTCGATTTTAGTGAGAAACCTGAACCCGGTCTTTTTTGTCAGGCGTCAGCCCTCATTGAAACATTAGCTGTACCGGTTTGCTGATATTTTGTGAACAGAGGGATCATGTTGCGATGTCAGACAGCCTAATATTACATGCTAATTGCTATGAGGTCTGGCTTTACTTTGAAATGTAATCAGCGTAAGAAGTGCACTTTAAAAGCTTGTTTCCGTTGCTGAGGCTGTAATCTCTCTAAACACGGTTCGACCGGTAGAACCGTATGCTGGGAACTATGGGAAAAGTTTGAGGTTGTTATTCGCAGCTGTTAAATAAGAAGCCTTTTATTGCTTGCCTTTTGCAATATTTATTGCGTGCCCCGTCAATTGATTACTATCTTTGCCGTAATAATTTCTGGTGGTGAAAAAATACTTTGTCATGCCAATGGTTTGTGTGGCTATTGTTCCGATTTCTCCCTGGCGTCCTGGCTATCGTATCTCTTCCCGGGGCTGTTTGCGATAAAACAGCGCGCTCTGGCAGGTATCTGATATGTGGCTCAACTATTAGTTGTCTCGCCTTTGTGGTCTTGCTGCCCCATATCTCTCAGCTGTGGCTCAGTCGTCTCTTCTGGCTGCGTCTCGGACATGCTATGACCTCTTCTAAGATTCACTAGGGGAACGTCAGACGTCACGTCACGCCCGTCGTTTCCGGCTCATCCCACCCCTCGTTCATGACTCATCGGTCATATACATTGCTCCTCTCTCCGATTTAGTCGTTTTTTATCTCAATTGATGCTCAGCTCAGCCGTTTTCTACTCAGCAGACCACAGCTGATCTGTCATTTGTCTGTACCTACTATACATATATCTCAGCCGTCCTTGGTCTCTACCCTGACACTTTGTCTCTCTCTATGCCTCGTCTCAACTCTCAAACCGTGCTGCTCAGCCGCTGTGCGCCTCCCCGCCTACTGTTCTGGGGCGGGCTCTAAGTTTAGCGTGTTGTCACACATACAGGCCGTGTTGGTCCGGCACACCAGCAGAGAATTCCAGATCAAACGCCGGCACCGAATCAGAAATGACCTCGGAAACCTGACGGCACAACGCCGAGGAGCAAAACATTTGAACTGGGATGATGATACCGCCTTCGGTGCTCGGCGCCATTTGCAGCCCTAACAGAGAGACTGATTTTGTTTGATCATCAGGGCAGCCCGATGCTTTATTAGGAGACTTCGCTATTTTAAACTACTCTGTGTGATAGGATTTCGGCGGTCCTGGGCGATTGTCATGCCTATGCGATTTGCTATAGCAGGAGTTGGAAATAATTTGGTTTAATCCACCGATTGAGTAGCCCTATTCAATCTCATTTGATTTGAGGTGGATTGACCCATAAATTAACCCTCGCATGTGTAGGGGGGTCGGATGGACCCCCCCCATGGTTTTTCGCGAATAACTCGCGTAAAAAGCGGCCGATCGCGACGAAATTTTCAGTACCCTCGCATTGATCAATTTTACACCTACCCTGAAAATTTCATGACCCTGACCCAAATGACCTTTGACCTGTGACCTCTTTTCCGAGACCATGTTTGGCCGGAATCGCGATTTCGCGTATGTCGGCTCGCACTAGCCGCGTGTTTGCAAGCTTTTCGTGGTTTCAAACGTTCAAACATGTGATTTGATGTTACTCCCGTGTGTGTCAAGGTCACCTGAAGGTCAGGTCAGGTCACTGACCTTTGGTGACCTCGGGTGACCTCGGGTCACTTTTTCGAGTTTTACATGTTTCTAGGCTAGTTTTTGGAGCTGAATTCGAATTTAGCAACCATTTGAACATTTACGAAGTAGTTTTGGTGACTTCGTAACATGTTACGAAGCTGTCAGAGGCGGTTGACACGTACTACGAATACCCGTCACGACGCCTACTGGTTGACCTGACCTGACCTGACCCGACCTGGTCTAAATGCTTCAAGACATCATCTGTGATCAAAACTAACACGATATTCGTGATCAGCACCCCGAAAAACCCCTTAGCAGCCACACTTTACGACTTTCTAACAGGTCCCGATTTTCCCGACTTTGGGTCATTGACCTGACCTGGAAGGTCAACCAATGACCTAGGACCTTAAAATTGGGTATCATCGGCTTCCTCTCGTCACGGGCAACACGCTCGTTTTTTCCGCGAAGCTCTAGCTCGATCAGGGGCCAAACGGCAAGGGGGGGTCCAACCGACCCCCCCCCCCTACACATTAGAAGCTGGCAAACGCCGCACACATGCGAGGGTTAATATCAAGTGATCTGCGAGTAGCATTGAATTGGATATCATAGATTGTCTAATATTCATCTGCGGTTTTTTGGTAATATGATTTAATAGCTGCAACTGTAAGACAATGATACCGGCAATTTACCATACCCCTAAAGTCGAATCATGATCAGTCATCACGTTGTTGTAGCGGTTTATTTACTTGTTACATTCGTAGAATAGTTAGTTTGATCTGAAGATTATATTGTCCAGGTCAAGGCCGTTTTGCGCGGAATTCCGTTACATTATGTGAATCCGCTTTGTGTCGTGCTGTTGTGGAGAGCTCGCAGAAATGCTGTGTCCGCAGTAGATTCTCGTTTCCCAGGGAATGTCTCCTCAAATCAGGAGTCTATTGAGTCGGTCGAGCGGTGGAACTTGGCGAGCTGCGTGTGCAACTTGCTGGACCACCGTCTTAGTGAGATCTCAATAGAACAGTTAATCGGGTGACCTACCCCCGACAAAACAGTCGGTTCGCGGAGATCTCCCTTCAATAAAATTGTTCATTCGGTGAGTTCTGCTCGATAAAAGAAACTGGGTCAAATAAACTTGAAGCAAGAACGACAAAATCGTGCATCAATATTATTGCAGCTGCTTTATAAACCAGCGAATTGATAGAACACTACCGCATAGCATTAAACATTTCCGTCATCTGCTATGAGCGTAGCGGAACCCAGCTGAAGCTTAACTGTTCTTGCTGAGCGGCACTAACCATTACCGCCTCCGTCTCGTCTCTCCAGTCCTCACTCGTCCGTGCGCTGTCCTTCGACTGCAGCCGATCGTCGTCTACTGCGGGACTTAACTGGAGCCT